TCTTCTAGTTCCATCCTCATTGGCTGAGGTTGTGATTAGTGTTACGGCATGAGGGACTGAACTGTCCCACTGCTCTTATCAGTTTTCAAATGGATTCAGACCTGGAATTTGTCTGGCTTGGGCTGGTGAAGTATGTCCATCTCATGACCACTCACTCACACCACCTATTCCACTCTTTTAGGCTGGGTTAGTGGACAGTACTATGAAAGCCAAACTCAGAGCAGGACTTGTACAACATAATTATCTTACAGCACAAGTCGCACTGTTCTCCTTTCCCTAGCTAAACTCTAGGTTTGTGAACCAATCCATAAACTGTAGGTTTCACCTGTAAAAAATACAATTCTCACCACTGGAACATAATGGACATATATTAAAACTAACCACATAACATTATAACTGCAACATAAGACTATAAATCTGACCAAGAGTCTGGCTGTGTATTTCAAGTTCTCTATTTACAAATGGTGTTTCAGTCTCTGTTGAAAATGGTGCTAAAAAAGTTTTGGAAATCAACTGTATTACTAATTTTCTACTGAGCAACCAATTCAGTAGCTGACTTTGGGCACAAACTACCAAGAACATATGAGATTATAAGTAATTATATTATGAAAAAATATAAAGAAATGTATAAAACATAAAAAATGTTCAAATAACTTTCGAAAGATTTTTTATATCTTTCATACTTATCCTCCCTTCACAAATTACATACAGAAGGAGTTTCATCTGAAATATAGTTATTAAAGAAAAACACTTATTTGACCCAGACATGGCATTTCTTCTTAGATCTGTATATTTACCTGTCAAAGCTATTTAGGTGGTGAATTGCAAAACAGCAGGTGTGCTTCCAGGCTTAAACCTTCCAAATCTTTTAGTCTGCTTCTTTCTTAATAATGCTCTGAGGCAACTGTTGATATCTCCATTAAGTCCAGCCAAAAGATTTAGGACTAAAGCTTTGATATTCCTTTTTAGTTTTAATGTTTCAGCACTCATCCAGTTCTGCATGTACATAGAGCCCATGAGAGACCTAAGTCAATCAAGGTAAATCTCAAAAGTGTCTGAAAGAAATCCAATCTCTATAAAACATGCAAAAGAACAAGCTGGTGCAACATTTATTGCAGAGGGAATTTCACACCATTGTTCTGCAGTGCACTTCCTTGTCTTCTTTAAAACTTAAAGAATCTCTAGTATTGTTTTTATGAGGTCATAGCAGCTGCTTTAGAATTTATTGCATAGGAATGCAGACTTAAATCAAGATCCCAGATTCTGCCTAGTTATTTTTTTGAATGTCACATCAAATGCATTGATTAGTTTCTATGGATGCTATTGAAGTACTAAGGAAAGGGATATGAAGATTCCCAGGGCATTTCTCCTGTAATAAGCTGTCTTAGGGTTATATTGCATGGAACCGATCACAAAGCTTATCCTATCGGATTTTAATCAAAATTCACATGAATGTTTGTTACATTTCTAAGATTTAGGACAAGATCAAAACCATTATTCCGTGGTCATGGAGGGTAACTCAGGTCCAGAACCATTATTCTCCTGGGCAAACATTTCTGGAAATTTTCATAACAAATGGGGTGAGACCAACAGGAAATTGATTCATATGGAACAAAAAAACATTAAGAATAACAAAAACATGAGGGAGCTACTGTATTCAGACCCTCATACTCCTTTGGCTGCTTACACAGTAGGTTACAGAAAATTACAGACGATCAACATCAATACCATGGCTGGATAGTTAGTCCCAGAAATGTTACTATTTACCAAAAAGCATGAGTCCAGTTTTCTGTTTCTTAAAATCATCTCCTAACTTTTCACTTTTGATGCTGAAATTCTTGTTTCATTGCTGAAATTGTGTTGTATTATAGACTTTGACTTTGCCAAGATGAATACAGTGCACTCGTCTGCATTAATTACTAATTATATAAATCAACTACATATAGTGATCAAGTGCACTGGGACAAAATCCTATATTAAACTCCCCCTTCTTACAAGAATCAAACAATCCACTTGTAAATTTACATTACAAGTTTGGTCCAAACTCACTATGCAATACAACACAAGGAGTCATAAGCCAACAAAGGTATTTTGAACCTGATCAATTTTCCCAGCCCTGCCGAGTGGCACTTTCACCTTAAAGTCTGATAATACTATAGGTGGAGACTAGTCCAAAGAAAGAATTAATGCTCTGTTCATCTGTCTAATAACTGGCAAAAAAGGGAACTTTTCATCCGCAGGGAAAGTCAGAAACCACAGTGTTTTAAAATGCGAGGCGTCTTCTAGGCCGCTAATCTCCCAATGCCTCAGCCTGTACAGTAATCACTTCAAATTAAAGCACCTGATGATGAACTGGGAAATAATACAATATTAATTTTGTATGATCTTGTTTAAAAGTCAAAAGAATTTGGTGATGGTAAAAATCATTTTTCAGTTGAAATAGTCATTTTTATAACACAATCCATTTAATTTCTTCTTTGTAAGTCTATTTTAAAAAATTGTGGAGGGACAGATCTGAAAAGTTAGAATCAAATCCTACTGTTATTGCCTTTCACCAAGACAAGATTCAGTTCCGGTCCCAGTCCATCGAAAGCTGGGATCACCCTGGCCACATTTAACTTTTTTTAAGAAAGATTTACATTTAAAAAATTCAGAATGTTCCTAACCAGTTTGTTAGAATGAAGAACTAAACACCTGAGCCAGGTGAAGGCTGGATAGCCTCCTCTTGTTTGTCTCATTTTAAATGTTCATACTCTGTCCTGGCCACAGTAATGTTAATTTATGTACTGTATTCTTCTTCATTCTGATCATCCTAAACAATAAATATCCAAGCCATTGTAAATGTGAAGATGTTTACAGCACCTGTCTGAAAGAGGGAGTGGGTCCCCTACTGTCAAAAGTATTGTAATGCTCTTTTTGAAAATGCACTAAAGAACCATGCTTGTGACACCAGGAAGCTAAGTGAAATATTATCACAGTCAGTTAATGGGTACTATGAAGGTGAAGCAAGTTCATTGTGAATTATATTACTTGTCCATACATCATAAACACCCCAAATTAAATCATACTTGTGTCCTTTCACCATCACATATTCATATCACTTGAGTATATAGATGCTGCTGTCTTTCTGTCAAGAACATGAGTACATTTCGCTCAAGGGGTACTGCTGACGATGACAGAAATGGTGTACAATGCTGAACAGAAAAAAACTCCTAAGTAAGCATCAATACACAATGGTAGCTTACTGTAATACTACCAGACTGAAGCATGGAGAAGACATTATTACATAAATATGTATAATACCTCAGTATTTCTAGAGTAAATGATAAAATTCACCATTTCAAAACATCTATTTTTTCCAGTACTCTAGTCTGGCATGCATCCAAAATATTTGGTTTCTACCTGCAAAAACTGTTTGGTATTCTGTGTGAAACGCTGCCTCGTCGGCACTACAAAACACAGTTGTTTTAGAATATGTTGAGGCACATTTACATATTTCTTATTTGGCAAATGAATACAATGTGTCTTGTTTAAGAGGGCTTGTGAAAGACATTCCGATAAGTTCAAAACTGTGCCACAATGATTAAATTCCAGGGATTCAGAGTCTTCAAAATGGAGTTGAAAAACCATTATTTTCATTTATGACTATTTTTGAACCAGTCACCTTCAAAGATAGTTTTGTTAAAGTTTTGGAAACAGATGCCATACATGTAAACTGGCATTCCTACCTCTACTGCAGAATTTCCAAACCAGTGCCCTACGACGGCGAGTCTGAGGAGACTTTGCTGTAGGAAGAGCCATCCTTCAGATGAGCTCAAACTCAGAACCTGACTTCTTTTCACTGCTTAATCTTGCATATAACTGTTTATATTTTGAGCACTTTAGACATTAAATAACCTTGAAAGCCCCATATTTAATGTTACAGAAAAAAACAACTTAATGTAATGCTACTGAAAACACACTAAACAAAATCAAATAAATCATTAACTTTTAGAAGTATATACAAACATGGATTTGAGCACTATAGATTATACAAAATTCATAACATGCTATATATACTGTACATAAAGCAAACAATAACAGAGCCATAACGATGAATTAAACAGTAAAACTGGAAATGCTTAATATGCTTGATGCTGTTGTTAATTCTTTTTTCATATTCTGTCTTACAAAGCTGTGTGAAGATAATGATGTTGTGTTGTGAACCCTTTTCTCATTAGCTATGACACTTTTAAGGCTTAAGATCCTTCTGCCTGGGGATCTAATTAGTCTCCATCTTCAATGCTCTGCAGGTCTGAGAAACTAGGCTCTTTGGGTGAAAACTGGAATCTACACTAACAAACTAGCTTACAAGCTTACAACAAAAGCCTGCAATTTTTTAGCAGACTAGGTCTGACCTTTTCCCAATTTACAATAAAATGGGATTGCAACAGGCTTTTATTCTTGAAGAAGAGCAAAATATCCATATCCAAAAATACATTTTTATGATCGGTCAGCAACAGTTTGTTACCATACAAGTTGTAAACAAGGTCAGAAAGTTAGGCAGATAGGTCATCCTTGGGCAGTTTACTGAGCCCTAATTAGCCAAGACCCCTGTTCTCTTTCTTGTTGCTAAACCACGTGTAGGATACATGAGCTACACCTCCACTCAAGAGACCTTGAAGAAACCAGCTGGGAATTCACACAAAACAGAAGAAAGGTTTTAGAGGGCCTAATTGTTAACTCCTAGCGGGAATAGGTTCCTTCACTACCTTCCTTTTCTCTTATACACGGAGCAAAGCAGCAGCAGCAATCATGAAATTTAACCCTGCCCCTCGGCACCCTTCCTGTGCCAGTACCAGAGGCTTAAGGCTGGAGCTCCATGGGTTGGTCCTTGCTTGGCTCAACAAATGACCTTGTGGCAGACCTCCCGAAGACAAACCGCATGGAGCCACGGGTGCATCTTCACGGGATAAAAGCGGGCGTGTGCTGCGGTAAACGCGTGGGAGAAGAGAACTCACCCTCCCTCGCTCTCCGCCTCCTCCGAGCTCTGGCCCTCCTCCCTGGCGGGGCCTGCTCTCTTCTTGCGGGCCGCTCTGTGCAGGGGGCTCCCCCGCCGGCCCCCCGCCTTCCCGCGCAGCTCCTCCCTCACCTGCTCCTGCAGCCTGGGGATGGCCTCCTTCAGGCTCCTCACCTCCTCCTTCAGCTCGGAGACGCACAGGATGAGGGCGTCCAGCTTGTCCAGCGTCTCCGCCTGCCTCCCCTGCAAGGCGCGCACAGCCCCGCCGCTCCCGTCCTCCAGGCTTATCCGCGCGTGCCGCCCGTTGCTACTGCTCAGGCAGAAGGGGGGGAAGCTCGCGCCTCCCTGGGCCTTCCTGGTCCTGTACCAGACCATGGCCAGGCTCATCCCTGCCGCGCCTGCCAACACGCCGAGCACCAGCGTCTTACTGTCTGCCTGGGACATCCCGCTGCTCTGCAAGCACAACAAAGGCTCCATGTCAGTATCATGCTTATCTGTGTTCAGCCTCTGTTGCATGGCTCATGGGTTCTGCACTGCTCCAATAAACAGCCACAGATGGGGCTGTGCTGGGACTTCAATGTTAAAGGAAGCAGAGGAACAAAGCACCCACTTTTGTAACCTTGTAACACTGTTGTGCGAGATGTGGGTTTGGAAACTCAATGGAAACTAAGCAGGCATGAATTTAGTGCTGAAAACAGCACTTCTTTACTCAGGGAGATGTGGAAGTATGGAACAAGCTGGCCAATCCTGCCACTTAAGGAAAATCCCAAGGGTTCTTCATGAAACGGCTGGACAAGAGCCTCAAATCGATCAACGACAAGCAACCAAACCAGCAAACGGCCTCTTTTAGCACATAATAAAAATAACAAATGAGTTGTACGGCACTGCTGGGAAAGTCACAGCTAGTGACTTGGCCCAGGTTTGAATTAAAAACACTGACATTTAAGAGGTCAGCCTGCACTTGAATTCAGTCATTTTAAAGTGGCTCCTTTTCCTTATCTCTCTTGGTTCGTGTGCACACAACCTACTGGTTTCATTACTTTAGCCTGCTTGTTATCTTTTTATAAATACTACAAAACAGCATGCTGTGGTTGCAATTTCCTAAAGGTTCTCTTAACTCTCTTCCTCTGGTCTCTGTGGTATTAAAAGACTAGACAAACACGCCATCCCTTTAATTGGCTTTTTATTTATTTGTAGGTCATAAAGACAGCTTTTTTAAGTTAATAAAATATGGTAGTGAGAGTATATGCTTTTCTATTTTGGAGGAGTGTTATTTAGTATTACAACACCTGAATTACATTTCAAGTGTTGGTTGGCATTCACCAACCCCCCCTGCGATGGCAGCCAAAGCGCACCAGTTCCACTCACCTCAGATAAGCTATCACTGGGGAGGATGGCAGAGTAATGAAGCCAGTTTGTAAATGGGGATTATTAGGATCATTATTAAAATTAGGACATGAATGACACTGAGTGTAGACGAGTGCAGGTGGTCACATGCAGGAAATAAAATCTATTAACATAAAAGGAAAAATACCAACCTTGAAGAGGACACTTATTTGGAAGTCTAAGATGTTTATGTGGTGATCATTTTCTTCATCTAGACCCTGTGAAGAAGCAGTAATGAAACTTGAACATAGGGCTGCTTGTTAAAGTACATGGACAGGAAAGAGAAACATTAAAACCAAAAGAACTAGTAAGGGTTCAGAAATAAAACTGCCACTCCAAATACAAAAGGATTTTTTAGAAACGTCAAAGCACTTCATTTGGGTTTTGGGGTTTGTTATGTAATGACACAAACTAATGCTCCTACCTGTAGCTTTAGGCAACTCTTCCTTTTGAATCACAGGTCAGACCACGTGGATATTTAACACGATTAGCATACTAATATAGAGCAGACAAGGGGATTAACCCCCCTGTCACACATCCCTTCTTACAGTAGTCAATTGCCATTAGTTTAATAGTCAAACCTAACGACAAGCACACTGAAAGCCCTAGAAATGAGCGAATCCTTTGATATGATGCCGATCCTAAGGGCAGAGGATACGTTCTTTATTTTCGCTTAACTCAAACGTGGGCACTAACAATTAGATATGTTTCAGTTTAATAAAAGGTTAAGGACGCCTAGACGAAGAATAAATAATACATTGAAAGACGAGGCAAAGCTGCGTAAGACACGAATAGAGACACGTACAGTACAATGTATCTTTCAGGGTTTGTGTCCGTGAGTTGCCCCATGACTGCCGCTCAGGATCGTTTGGTTCCACCAGGTGATATTTTATTATCTTAACAGGTAAGTACTGTCATATCTCATACCGGGGCAGCACTTCAGTTAAAATAGACTCTGCCAAGAGTCTCAAGCTCTAAAACACTACAGAGGAACTACAAAAAAACATCTACTTTGCTTGAAAATGAAACTTACAGTTTTTTTTCAAAAGATGTTAAGGTGATACGGCAATGCTCGTCCTTTCGCAGAGCAGCACTCCCGGTGTGTGACACTTCGCTTTGTTGCACCGTAATATTTCCTGCCATCCTATAGGAGCGGTGAAAAAGGGTTCCGCTGAAACTCTATGTTGAGTAACCGGAGCAAGGTTCCGGACTCCATCACAGGGCAATCATCGTAAGTAGTTAATCTCTCACGTCACCGTTTTGCTCCGCCCCTACGGGTAGAATAGTTCAGTGCACCCATTCATAAAACCCAAGAAACCCAACCTGCCCTGCAGGTAATGTGGCCATCTAGTTTTGAATATACTCAAAGTAACCTTGGATTTCTTACTTAATATAAAACCTATTTACAGTACAGTTCAACAATGGTTAAAACGCAGAACTGTTTATGGAGTATATTTATAAAACATAACCTGCTAATCTATTTTCGAAAAATCTATTTAAAAAAAAAGGAGATACCAGTTACCAACTCTATGGAAATTGATCATTTCAATACTAATACTGATAATATCTTACACAGATATTGTGGGCCTGAGCAAAGAACATTATCTTTGAAGGGATTTCAGTGCTTCACTGATTTAGAACAGAAGGACATGCAATATCAACCTGTGCCTGACTACTCTGTATAACAGGCTGACTTACCTCTGTGAAATTCAGGCTATAGAGACTCTGGATCATGCATCATGCTTGTTAAATCTGTGTGATCTACAGGTATGTTTGATTTTTAAGTATCTGTTTTAGTCGGTTGTCATTTTGATGGTTTTGTTTTTCTAAATTGATTAGTGTTTCTATATTGTAGCTCCTACTAAATGCATCATTTTAGCTTGACTAAAATGCATTCTTCTTCTAACTCCTAGAATGAGCTTTCTTTTTAAGAGCAACAGTTAGTTACAAGTGAGAGGAAGCTCTGCTGGCCGTTCATATGCTAAAGTCTTGCTTGCCTGCCAGGAGCTTCCTGTTCCTGCTATCCCACAGAGGAGGCTTAACCACGACAAGCAGTGATGATCTTGACTGTTTGTACGTCAGGTGGTACGAGGGTGGTCCAGCAGCCAGCTTTACTGCAACAGGAGACACCAGAGTCCACTGGTGTTCCATTTACATACTGTCTTCCTCATCTACAGTATAACCTGTCCTGTGCACAAAGACCACTGAGGACTGTGCTTTCATTGCATTTTTAATGAGAGAAAAACCTTTCAACACACATTTATAAATGTATATGCTAAAGTTCTTTTAGTTCACTGTTATTCAGTGACAAAATTCTGCTGTTGGTTTACTATGTACTTCATGTTTCCTCTCTCTTCATCTTTGTTCTGTGGACAATGTTGTATTTTATTTAAAGGTGAGTAGTACTCTAGCATATAATCATTTTCTTGGCATTGTCTGTATATACTCCGGCAAAAAAAAAAAATACTGTGCAGATTCCACACTGTTTACATGAATTCACAGTGCCCTGGGGGTGTGCCGTTTTCTCTTTATTTTCCTTACTGAAGCCAGGAATCTAACCTAACAGACCTGAGGCATGACCAAGACTACAAAAGCAACCAATAGAAAATGAAGGAGAAAGAAAACCACAAAGAACCAGACACGTTCTGTCTTGAACTGCTGAGCCCAGTCCCAGACAATTACAATGACATACCAGGCCCAGGTTAGGGTTCCAAGCTTCATAACCAGTCAGGTTTTTGCAATAGATTTCTCAATTTGAGGAATAAAAAATAACTCACAGGATGCCAGCTCTTCTTTATTATTTGTTTATATAATTACATTTTAACTGTTCTGTAAGCTTGAACCAAGTTTGTGTTCTACTGAGCATTCTTAGCTTCATCGAGATATTTGAATTAAGGTCATCTTTTATCCTGGAGTTGTCTAATCTAATCTGTTTAACGTAACAATTTGAAATAAACAATTTAACTACACCTGTCAATACAAGACTACAAGGCATATTTTGTTCAGCTTAAATATGAGAATAAGATAACTGCAATATTAAAAAGCATACAACACAATGTCTGCTAAATATGCACACCCCTGGAGGACTTAAGGAAGCGCCATTTGATTCCTGAGTCTGCTGAGGTTGGATGAGATTCTCTGTCTTCCACATCCACATTCACAGGAGCCGCAGGATGAATTAAATTCCCATCAGCAAATTGTAAACTGTTATTGGTGGATGCACACCTGCTTGATTGTTAGTCAGTGGCAGTTCCATTATTTACTGTGGTCTGTGCATCAGAAACCTGATATTTGAACATTCCTGTTCATCTGCTTGCTGGGATATGGGACATACTTTATACTGGGCTATACTCCTTCCTTTGAAAGAGTAGATCGCTTTGATTAAACACACCATTGTGTTCCGGCAATGCGTTTTTATATAGTTACACAGACATTTTGGGGCATAATAAGGATTGGCTCAAGGAGCTAACAGGAGACGAAGTAATATGAAAGTAAATCAAATATTTAAAAAATTTTATTAACTTAAAAAAGCTGTCTTTATGTCCTACAAATAAATAAAAAGCGAATAATCTTGAAATAATCTCTTCAAATTCTCATTTTCAGTCCTATGCAATTTTTTTCTCTTGCCACCAGGGGCACTGTAGTGCAGTTTTTCTTTTTTCTTCCTCTCAAGCCTGTTTTAATGTCACAAAAGTATACAGTAGAGCAATTGCAAACGCCAACGATTTTGCCCACACAGTAGCCTGCATCTCTGCCATTTTATATACCTGAGCCAGCTTCCAGAAGATCCTGAGACCTACGTCAGTTAAGACCCACTCGCGTGTGTAAATAAGGTGAGTACTGGGCCTGTCTCTTTCCTTATTTCCAACAAAAGATCTTAAGGGATGAATACAAACTAACTCCTGGAAGGTTCTTAAGATGAAAAATTCTTAATCTCTTTAGATTAAGAATTCCAATAATTACATACTGAATAGCAAATCAGAACATTTCAAGATTGAGAAAGGGTTACTACATAGAAGTATAGTAGCTGGAGTAGGTGTATCACACCTGAAGAAGGCTCCGAAAAGTTGTGTTCTCTTCAGCATGGAAAAAACCTCTTAATTGTGAGAATGTTACTTTTGTTCCACTATATTGACATTATATTTCAAACAATTTTTCTAGAAACACTAGCCTAATGAAGCTATGTAGCATGGTGTGTAAATCTTAAATGGATTTTTAAATTAAAAATTGCTTACAGTAAAGATATATTGTGTGAATAGTATAATATACTATTATGTACTGTACTACTTACTATTCTAATAACAGTATGAATTACAGACTGCTCAGATGCGTTGGGGAAACTATTAGATTGGTTATATTTGACCTCCTTTCCCAATAATTCAGCATGTACAGTAGTATCAGAAAAGCTTCCCCTTGTTTATTATCTTTGTACTTAGGTGTAGTACTGCTTTTTTATCTGGTATGTTAAATAACACAAAAAACAGTTTTCCCCTCATCAAAGCTGAAACACATCAAAAACAGATACATACTGTAACATACCTGGATTTCTACACCATCTCCAGCTGTACATCCAGCTGCTGAGCTGTGTTTGGAAGTTTCTGCCCAAGAGCAACCTGTTTTTATCTTGTACTCACACAGATCATAAATAAATAATCTGATCAACCTTCATCCACATGGTCGTCTGCTTTCAAGGCTTTTCTGCCGGGAGTGGTGTTACTGCTGTGACAAAGGGCAGAGAGCCCTCTGAACACACATACAATACAGATAGAAAAGATCCTCACTTATTATTAATAGTTCGTCACTGGGTGTTGGGACCTCTTGGTTGGCTTTTATAAAAATAGTCTTACATTTTAATTTCAAAACAAATACTTTAATAAGAGGATATTTTGGTAAAACCAC